CATCAGGAAATATTTAATACATAAAAAATATGTAACTTTTTTATATTAAATTATATAAAATTCTATGTTATTTTTACAACCCTCAGTGATTTTACATTTATATAAATTTACAATCTATGTAATCATGATAAAGCAATATAGCATAAATTTATGCATTATATAGGTTTATTGAGAATTTTTCATAATAATATATAGCAAAAACATATAAATTTATAAGTTAATAAAATCTTATAATAATTTATCATAGGTTTATCAGATATTTTTATAGATTGTTATCAATATATATAGATATGTAAACAGATTTATATAGTACATGTGTAGTTATTTATTCTCTTATGATGCTAGTAATAAAACATTATTGCTAAATACAACTTATAAATTAATAGAATATTCTAAAACTATGATGCTTTGTAAATAAATAGTTAATTGATTTTATTCTAAAGCATCTTCATGATTATCTTCATAATCATCTTCACAAGTGTCTCTGTAATTATCTTCATAATTATCTTCATAATTGTCTTCATAATCCTCAGTTTCATTTTTTGTCTAAACAATTGTAAATTGTTATTATATACATATATATATATATTTTAAAAATCATATTAAATAGTATGATATAATTTTGAACATATCCTTATGGTCATAACCCTCTATAATATAATCAAATCTAATACAAACATATTCATATGGTACACGATCAGAATCTGCATTCTGTGATTGCAACCAATCAGATTTCATATATATCTATAACTATAACTTTTTTTTCTCTCTCCTTCCTCTTTTCTTCACCCAGAAAATCACAAAGTAATATATATGAATTATAATTATGTAAATCCCATATGATGTATTAGGGTGTATGTATAAATAGCATATAAATCAAATATACCTTATGCAATTGTGCAGGTTTCACATATACTATACATATAATCATGTACACCTTGATGTTCTTATATAGTCATTTAATAATATAAATACTCTACACATATATTATTAATTTGCTATTGTAGCTTTAATAGCATAAAAGGTTTTTTGATCTTGAATTATAACCATAAGAATGTGTTCATAATAATAATATACTTACTAAAAATTCTTCCATTTTAGCCTCTATATAATGTTGTTCAGCATTAGTTGTTTCATGTGTTTCATCTAAAAGACAATGACATACAGATCGAACAAATGCTAACTGTTGATCACTTGGACTTTCTTCTTTAAACACTTCTTGAGTAAAATAGTTTATATAAGTTATATCATTATTATCAATAGAAATATCCAATTTATGTAAAACTTGTTTTACTGGCTCAGAACATTTCCATATTTGTAATTCACTAGGTTTAGTATTTGCATTAACTTTATCAAGTTTGAAAGTATCGAAAATTAATTCTTTTATTTTAGATGTATATCCTCCTCTAATTATACAGATTTGATCTTTAATCTGTAGATGATAATAATAAATATTAGTACTAATAATAATACATGTATAAATATTAGTACAATAACATATAATAAAAAAAATACAAATTTATGTAGTTCTTTTCTCCATAAAGGACCAAATTTTGTTTCCTTTATTTCTGAAGGAAAATCTTTCATTAATTTATCTTTAACTTCTAGCATTATTTCTTCTGCAGAAATAAAAAATTGATTCTTTATTTTGAGTTTTACTATATTTAAGACAGTTTCCTAATTAAAATAATAAAGTAAGTATTAAAGTTTTAGATAAATTTATAAACATATATTTAAAACTTACTATCCACCACTTGCCAGAAGTTTGGTTTTCTAATTTTCTAATCTTACTATTTAAATTTTGAATTTCTTTTTCAAGATTTAAAATTAAGCTTATTGATCTTTTATTATAGTTATTATTTGATTCTTTATTATTTTGAATTAAATCTATCATAGTTTCTTGATTTTTAAGAATTTTCTTTAATAAATTATTATCTATTAATATTAAATAATATGTTTGAAGTGTTGATCAAGCAAATAAAACCAAGAGAATTATAAATATTAAAACAAAAAAATATTATTATCAATCAGTTGGAATTAAAATTATAATTAAAATAAGCTTATAATATAATTATACAATAAATTATTAATAAGTAAATTAATAAAGTTAATAAGAAAACTTTCTTAAATAAAATAAAAACCTGAATTAGAAATATTAGAATTTTCCTCATCATCAGATTCAATATTATAAGTTTCATTAGTTTTATGTAATTCTGAATTAGATAAAGATGAAGCTTCTTTTGCATTCTTTTTAAATAAATTACTTGTATTATTAATACTTTGAGATGAAAGCAATCTCTTAGAATTTGAACTTGAATTTGTATTATTATTAATAATTTGAGATGAAAGAGGTTTTTTAGCACTTAAACCTGTATTATTATCTTTAACTTTACTTTTTGATCTAGTATTTAAAGCAGGTTTATTATTATTTAGTTTATTAAAAGAGTTTCTTGTCATCTTTAAAATATTTAAAATAAAATTGTAAATAATAATAGCAAAGCAAAGTTATAAGTAAAGTTATAAAGAGTTATAAAATCAAAGTTTATTTTAATAAAGCTTATTAAGCTTATTATAAAAAAATAGTCTAAATACACAGTGAAACTCAATTTAGCAGATTTCGATTTAACAGACATCTAATAAAAATCTCAATTTAACAGATTGAGGCTCAGAACTGGGCTGCATTTTTATATAGTAAATTTCTTGATATAACAGATGTACTAATTAAATCTCGATTTAATGGATTTTTGAAAAATTTTTACTAAGTGGCTGAAATTATCCGCTAAATCAAGTTTCACTGTGTATAAACTTTTTCTATTTATTGATCATATATTTAAGTGCTTCCGAAATAAATTTCAAATATTACAAATCTAATATCCTAAATTTTAATAATAAACTTATTTTTCTAATAATGAAATATTGTGATTTCTGTAAAAAAACTTTTAAAACTTCAAATCATAATAAAATTCATGATTATGAATATAGTTCATCTGATTCTGATAATAAAAATAACAAGAATAGATATATTAATAAGAACTACACTGGTGATTATGCTGATGATTATATTGATAATTATATTGATATTAATAATATTGATATTGATATTGATATTGATATTATTAATGATGATAATGATAATGATGGTGATAATGGTGATAATGGTGATGGTGATAATGATAAT